AATCCTTCCTTTTTTATTTTAAGGATGAATTGATACATGAACTGAAGCAGACACTGAATGCCATAAAGTTAGAAGAAAAGGGGGTTTATGTCCAGGCATCTACCCTGGGATCTTTAGAAGCATTACTTGAATTTTTGAAAACTTCAGAAGTGCCAGTAAGTACCCAAGATTCTGTTTTCTTGGTCATGATTTTGTTAGGTATTATTTGCAGAATTTATATCAATGGCAAGCTGTTTTTTTTTTCTTGTCTCCTGATAGTATGCTGGAATTAACATAGGACCTGTGCACAGAAAGGATGTTATGAAGGCATCAGTCATGTTGGAGCATGATCCACAGTAAGTATTTTCCTTCAAAATGTTTGTGGCATTTCTAAAGAGGCTTCATGTGCAGCTCCCTAATATTATCATTTGTTATTTTCAAGGTATGCAGTGATCTTGGCATTTGATGTGAGGATTGAACGAGATGCCCAGGAAATGGCTGATAGTTTAGGGGTTAGAATCTTTAGTGCAGAAATTATATATCATTTATTTGATGCCTTCACAAAATATAGGCAAGACTACAAAAAACAGAAACAAGAAGAATTCAAGTAAGTAGAATTCTCATACAGAGATATAGATACAAATATTATGTTTGCATGTGTGTGAATTATAAAATTATTTTTTAAAGACCAGTGTTCTATAATATCAGTTTAGTGTTTCATTCTCATTTCAACTGAAAAATGTTAGTGTAAAAAAATACAGGACATCCTCACTTAACTACTGCAATTTGGACCAGCATCTTGGTTGTTGAATGAAACAGTTGTTAAAATACACATAATATACAAATAAAAACACATAACAGGCAAGCATCTGAAAAACACTCATCAATAAAACCAAGAGACAGACTCTCATTCATACTTGGGACCCCAAACGGATATTTCAGGAGTTTTACAAAAATTCAGCATGGTCAGAAATAGTCTTCTGTTCGAACAACAGGCCTGTAAAACTGCTAAAGCAGGCCTGTAAAACTGTCAGTCCATGGGCTGGATGGGTCATGTGCAGGCCACAGCCACCCTGGCTCCACAAATGCAAAAAAGTCCTGATATACACAATATGTCACGTGACGCAATCGAGTTTCACACCCATGTTCTAAAGGATGAGTGCTACGGCAGAACTTTCTGTGCCCTTTCAGATTTATCCGTAGTAGTACTTGAGAATAAAAATAGATTTTTGTTCATGTAGCTTTATTTTCAGACTACATTTAAACAGTTCTTTGCCATCTTTCTCTCCCCTTTCCCCCCAGGCATATAGCAGTATTCCCTTGTAAGATCAAAATACTTCCTCAATTTATTTTTAATTCTCGTGATCCCATAGTGATGGGAGTCCTTGTGGACGCAGGTCAGGTAAAACAGGGAACTCCAATCTGCGTACCTAGTAAAAATGTGAGTAATCTATATCTTTAAAGATATTCTATCTTTTTTAAAAGAAGGGTTATTTGGATAATAATTTTTAAAAAAGAGTTCATTGTAATATACTTTGATAATAGGTGTTTATAAATATATAAATCAACCATCTATGTTGCAGTAAAGTTGCATTGATTAGAAACTTGGATTCTTCGATGAAATGTCCTTTATCATGACTTCTGTGGAATATTGATTTTACCTATGGATTCATTTTTCTAGTTTCAAATGTTAAATTTGATAAAACATCTTTCGAAATAAATAAGTGTACAAACCTGCTTTTCCAAGGTTTTCTCAGATGTTTAGAGATAATTGGCCTCCAGTCCCAAACTTTCATTATATACTCTATCACAGGGATGTCAAACTCAAAGGCCCATGGGCCAGCCTGGAAATAGCAAAGGACCGGCCTGTGGTACCTCTGCTAGCAAAAATAAGGCACCTGGGAGGGGGGGAGCACGTGCAGCTCCACCGCAACCAGTTTTGGCTGCCATAAGAGTGCTGCAGGAGGTCTTCCAGGTCCAAAATGGGGCCTCCGGAGTGTTGCAGGAGGCCGTCCTTGACTCAGAAGGTTATAAAAGGGAAGAAAGGTAAAGTATTTCAGGCTTGCAGGATTCTGCTACTATAGCCTAAGTCAATAATTTATAGTTCTAGTCTTCCTATGCAGTCAGTTTCTTGATCTAGTCTCTCTCATAGATCAAGTAAGTATTAAAAAACAAAATCACAGAAATGTACGCCTATCTATTTTTATAAGTGTACAAAACCTTATGTGTGGAGGTGTGGTCTGTGTCATGCCCACCGTGGCTATGCTCAGCCCTTCTCCCAGCCCTCCAAGGTTAAATACAACCCTGATGCGGCCCTCAATGAAATTGAGTTTGACATCCCTGCTCTATCACATATGTACAGTACCACCTAACAGATAGATTCCCATACTTTTCTTCAGATTTTACATGGAGAAGTTATTATTAAAAATCTAGTTACATTTTGAATATTTATTTTGCTTATGCCCTTGTTCTGCAAATTTATTGCTAACAAAGAGTATGTTTATTACAGTTCATTGATATTGGAATAATTACAAGTATTGAAATAAATCATAAACAAGTAGATGTTGCAAAAAAAGGTCAAGAAGTCTGTATAAAAATAGAACCAATTCCTGGTGAAGCACCGAAAATGTATGGTCGACATTTTGAAGCAACTGATATTCTTGTCAGCAAGGTAAACATTTTTAAATTCGGAATGTTATGCAAAAGGCCTTTTTTGAAATGGGATAGAATTTAGACTGATATGTCAGCATTTGGGGGTTGGGAGGGGGGTAAGAGAGGCTGTTACAGAAATTTTGATACAGAATCATTCTTTGCTTCTAGAGATTAAAATTAAAAATGGTTGAGAACATCATTACAGTGCCTAAGGTGCAACTTTTCAAAAAATATTACTTTGGTTTCTGAAATTTATGAAATGTAGATTTGTGCTATATATTACAAATAATCCTACAAGTAGGGGTCTCATATCAAACATTTTGATTTTCTACTTATAGATTAGTCGACAGTCCATTGATGCCCTGAAAGACTGGTTCAGAGATGAAATGCAGAAGTCTGACTGGCAACTTATTGTGGAGCTCAAGAAAGTATTTGAAATCATCTAGGTTCTGTCAAACTTTGAGCAATGATTAGCAAAAGCCCACAGTTCCTATTATAAGAACAACAGCAGCTTATAATAAATATGCTGTTGTATTTAACAAACATCTGGGAAAAATGTGGATAAAATGTTTTCCATGAGAAACCAAATAACTTACACTGGTTTGACAGTGGTCAATTTATGTCCCTGTGGTTCCAATGTGCCTGTGCATCTTTCCCAATGCCCTTCACTTTATACTGGCTACTTTTAAAGTTTGCCTTTTCCACTTCACATCCCCAAATTAAAAGAAAATAATTTTTTATTAAATAAGTCAGATTTCACTTTTATACTAGTAAGATCAGTACCACAGTATTTGCCTAATCAAACTCTTACAGACTTTGTGATTTTTTGGACTTTTTCGATGTAAGAAATCTTTATTTATGCATACCTTCTTTCCCCCTGATTTTTTTCATCACTTCTGCTTTGTGCCTATAGAAATTTATTATAGAAAAATTAGGTAATTGGCTATATCTGTACTTGGTTGGTGTGAAACTATGATGTAAAGCACAGTTGGCTGCCTTTTATTGCTTGTACAGTTTATGAAATTTGGCAAATTAATCAGTGCCGAACTGCAAATAAAAGAAACGAACATTACTCTGATAATTTAATTCCTAATAAAGGCAGTGCAGCATGCAAATATATCTGTCAAAATTTAGTTACATGTGTCTGGTCTGAACACTTCAATAGTCCTTGTGTAGGTTGTTTGTTAGAAAGATGGAATAAAATCTCTGCCAAATGCTTAGAAGAGCACAGTTGAGCAGTTTGATCTGGTCAGTGTGGTTGAAGAATTATGTACAGTAATCCTATTAATGTGTAAATGAGGTATAATTGTAGTGTATAATTGTACAAAACCACACCTGGAAAGGTGGGCTAAAATTAAATCCTCTGGATGGTGATCTTATACACTGATAGCATCATGGTATTTACTGCTAAGGTTACATGGAAGGCAGATTATCAACAATCCTACTTTTAGTTTTTGCCTGATGTTTGCAAAATGGCCGTAACCAGTTGCAAGCATAATTATCAGGAAACAGCAGTAAAGTTAAAATTGTAAATGAAATAAGAATAGTTAAAATTCTACAATTGAAAGAAGCTGATTAACTTAGGTAAGAAACAATCAAGTCTGCAGAAACCTCAAGATATGCTGTAACTTAAGTCTATTCTATAGGTATAATTTTACCTGATAAGATAAACATAAGTAAATATTCAATCCTCATTGTTTTCTATTTAATATTAAAGCATTTTCATTATAACCTTATCAAGACTAGTATATTACAAATTCTGAAATTAAATGTTGTGATAAGAGAATTTTCGTAGGTTTTAATGAGACTGTTGTGAACGTCAGTTGATATGTTGCTAGAATTACCAGGTGGATATGGGGATAAGAAGAAATCTCTTAACGCTGGTAGTGTGGGTACAAAGAGAAGTCCATTTGCTACATTATAAGATCAGCCATTTGATCTAATCCAATAGACATTCTTCTTACCTCTTTAAATTTTTAAAGATTTTGATAGACTGCTATAACAGAAACTCTTTAAATAGAAGGAAAATGGATTATTAATGAAAACTGAGTATTTTGTGAATAGGAAAATATTTCTTACATGTGTTTGATAGGAACAAACCAAACTCCATTAATATTATCAGATTTAGCCAATTATGAGACAGATGCAGAGCCAGGATTCTGTTGTTCATGTTGGACAATTCCAAGAATAATGAATTTCTTTTTTAAAAAAGTCCATATCACTAAGTAAACACTTTCCAAGGAGCCTTCTCCCACTGTGAAATAGCTAAGCTTGAAGATAAATGTTTAGCCAATAAAAATATGAAAACTAATACTGACTTCAAAATTTATAGCATTTAGAAAAGAAAATTAAAGGAGTGAAACAATATGTACAAATTACATACAATTCTTTATTAAACAATTGTAAACACTTCACTGTAAAAATCCATAAAACTTTTATAAACAAACATTTTGTAAATAGATTCTATTCTACAATAAAAGAATTTAAACACAATTATTTACATGCAATACTGACAAATTTTGGCACTTTGCTGAAAGAAAATGTACAAAACACCTTCTCCTTTAAAAAAAATTCAACATATAAAAACTCAGCTTAATGTCATGCACTTTGCAAATACCTCACAAGCACTTATGGTACAGCTATCAGAGAGCTCCAGGCTCTTACCATATCTTTTTCTACAAGATCAGTTCAGATAATTTTTAATGTGCTTCCATAAGTTTGTTGCAGAACAACCTGAACATTGTCAAGAATGAAATCAAATGCCATGTTCCATACTGATTCTACAGACTGCTGCATTAGCCTGTGGAGATAAAAAAAAGTAATAGAATGGAAAGGAAAGTTTACTATCACACATTTTCATAAGATTGTAGAGCGAGATTTTGAACTGGAATAGGCTAGCCACAGCCAAACTCATAGAATATGCTTAGCTATATTAATTATAGTTCACTTTCTTGTGTGAAAATACTTAGAAACAAAGTTTTGTTGATGGAAAAACATATGCAAACATACACACACACAGCTAAACTGTCTATGCAATATTTTAAAAATAAATTTAAAGTGGCACAAGACAAACATACAAAATTATGCATTCTGCATTTAGGTATTCAATCATGAGATTTAAACAATGAAATGTAAAAATATTTGTCAGTTTACAAATTTGGAAACTGAAGCAGACATTTTATGAATAACAAAGAGTATAACTGGTATTTAGTGGGAGAGTTCAAAGAACAGGAAAACTCCAAAACTGCTAGGATTATTCTGAGCATACACAGTGATTGGTTTGCACAGGTATAGAACATTTCAGAACAGGTTTTAGTTAAACCTTATTGAAACCTTATTCAACTGTAGGTTTATACAGGACTGCTAAATATCCCAATTCCTTAACAGGGAAGCTTAGCAGAAGGAGCAATGTAAGAAATAATGGCAGGTGCATTATGTGAAAATCATACAGCCATTCAATTAGTTACAGAGAAGCAAACAATTGTCTTGTTTGGAGTCTGTGCGTTGTGCTGATTTTATATCATAAAAATGTGACTCACAAAGTTACAGATTTGTTACTGTAAACCAGGGGTGTCAAACTCAATTTCATTGACGGCCACATCAGGGTTGTGTTTAATCTTGGGGGGCCAGGGTGGGCGTGACCAGGATGGGGACTCATGTTGGGGGGCCCTGTGGTGGCCTGAGCACCCTACCAGCGAAAATGGGCTCCTGGGTTCTGTTTTTGTTTGCGACGGTTTCCTGTAACCCTCCGCCAGTGAAAACAGCTTGGGAAGGCCGCCTGTGACCCTTCCCAAGCTCCATTTTCACTGGCAGAGGCATTGCGGACTGGTCCTTTGCTGTTTCCAAGGCGGCCCCACAGGCCAGATTTAAGCACCCCACTGGCCGGATCTAAGCACCCCACTGGCCGGATCTGGCCCCCGGGCCTTGAGTTTGACACCCCTGCTGTAAACAGATAAAGCTACATTTTATTTGCAACCGCATAAAGAAGATTCCAAACTTCTAAAAGAACTGGAATAGAAAAATGGCAGTAAAGATTCCTGGGAAGGGTGGAATTTAAAGCTCTTTGGAATTAAGGTGATCATATTTAATGCAATTTCATCACTGTACTATATCAGGTAAACCAGGACTGATTTTTGATGGCTGAATACTTGTTTGACAGGCCAAAGCCCACCACCATTAGGAAGATTACAATACATGCAAAAGGTGAATAGGTACAAGTTCCTAATACTTCCTACTGATGTTGCAATTCAGTTTCCTTTCAAGCCATTTAATCCTGCTATGGGGGTGGGAACACTGGTTATGGAAGAAGGGAATGGGACAGAAAAAACATCAACATGTTGATGAAAGGGAGAAAGAAGAACTAAATGCACTTCCATAAAGATGGCAGAGAAACCTCTAATTGTTTAACAACTATTTAAATTGTTTGAGTGAATGATTTCTTGAATGAATAAAATAAATAATAAAGCAGAAAAAGAAATTTATTCCAAATACAAACAAGTAGTTTCACATTGCTTAAACTTTAAAAGACAAGTTGCTTTACCACTCTGTAAAAACACTGTAGTGGAAGAGCTAAACATGGTGAATACAGTACTACCTCTTCTAAGGGAAACTTATCGTTGAGGAAACAATGCTGATTGTCACTTGATAGCTGCAGTAAGACAATAGTCCCTGATTTCACCAAAAGGTAATTAAACTACAAGAATTTTGATCTGTGGATTTTGGCATGGCCTTGTCAATTATTGAAATGGGGGAAGAGGCATGAAAGAGTGATCTTTCATGAAGTCCCAAAACTTCATGATTCTATGCCACTTTGGTATATAGATGAGCTAAATATTTCACTGACAGATGTGGCCATAAAGAGACAGAAAAAGCACTTGCATCTAGCAAACAGGCTGAAGAGAGAAAATTTATTTGAAGCTATGGCAATAGCTTTTAAAGCTTTATCCCATAGGAAGATATGACGGCAAGATAATTCTGATTCTAATACTATGGATAGGAATCCACACAATATCCTGTTAAGCAGAAAGGGTTGTTAATGATTGTGGACATGCAGCTGGAACATATGTGAAATTTCAGATAAACAGTAGGCCTTGGTCATGTGGTAAAAGGGCTGGGAACAAAAGGGAAAAAAAACATTTTAATTGTACAAAATGGAAAAAAGGAAAACTCACCATATTTTTCATGTCTATTCAGAGTACTGAGTCACAGAGAACACTCCTAATAAAGTAGGTGATGTAATATCCTAATAAATCTGGAATAATTTTGCAATGCTGGCGATTTGGGGCAAGTGAATGCAAAGCAGGCAGAAGAGAGGCAGGACTGCCATACAGGCTACCTCTCAGAAATCTTCCAGAACTTTGCAAGTGCAAACTCACCAGAATAATGCAGAGAAATCACAGCCGCAATAAATAATTGATACAGTACCACAAATGAACACGTTCTAGATATTCAATTGTGGGAAAATAATATGACAAATGCAAGATACGCAAGTATAAAGAATTGCTACCTGAAATTCTTAAAAGTTTTATAACTTATTTTCAATGTCATTTGGATTTTTTATTTCTATATATCAAAAATAAGTTAGCATCTAGTTACCTTTTCATGTACTTTATGACTAGATCCAGCTTTTCTAAATCCTTTTCTTCTATCAGATCAGTACAATACTTCACAACTTGCAAAATGTCTTCCTCCATGGGATCTACAAAATTATACATACTTTATAGAATGCCTCTTTGAGTGGCAGAGATTAAGCAGCTTTAAATTAATGGATATTCTGACACTGATGTAAATTGATATTCCTTTTAAAACAAAAAAATTGCCTCTTTCAAGTAAGAATATACAAAATCTTGTGTATGATCATTATAGCTTAAAGCATATTCTTATCTGTTGTCTCAATTTACAGACCAATTTGAAAGAAGAACTTTAAAACCCTACACAGTATCTGCCACATCTTCCCATGAAATTCTGCATGGAATTCAACCCTTTTTGTTTGTGCCACCACGAAGCTGCTCCATTTTATTTATTAGATTTATATGGCTGTACACTCACTCAGAGTGACTCGGGGCAGCTTATAAGCAATAAAAAGCCCAATATAAAAGAATAAAATACAGTCACACTTCATGGGGGGTGTAATTTGAAGTATACATACAGCCCAATGGTCCTTTAAATATTCATAATTTTGATTGATCATGAGAAAAAAGAAACTTCCATAGAAGAGGTTGATCAAGGTCTCCCCTAGCTTGCAAATACCATTTCATCAGTGGAAGTCTGTTGTTTGTTTGTTTTGGTTTGCTTAGTTACACTGCTACAATTGTACCTGTGGCATCAATAGTCAGTTCTTAGTAATACACAAAACTATAAAGCACTGCACAGAAGTAGAATTTTCTGTGATTTTGAACATTGTCTAATCTGAAATATATTTACTGGAAGAGACACTTCTCTGGCATTTTAAGACAAATATCCTTTGAAAACTACAGAATGCAAGCAATAGTAGAAAGCCACAGTAGCTCTTAAAGCACAGTAAATAACATTAAGAATCAATTAAAACTATTTTTAAATACTCAAATCTCCTGTTCAAACAATACCAGGATTGTAGAATGCTATTATTTGATGACATCTAGTACAGACATGAAATGTAGCCTTGTTTCAATTAGCTTACAAGACACACCATCCTTTTCATTAAAAAGTAACACGCCTAGAGTTTACCTGATATAGTTGTAATCCATTCCTTAAGCAAGGCCTTTACATCGTTAAACTCAATAGCTCCTGCTAGATTAGGTGCTTGAGGCCAAATTGTGGTAGATGATAATTGCTGTGGAATAGATGGACTGGAAGGATTTGTAACAGCTTGTACTTCTTCCATCTATCCAGAAAGAATAAAAATGAAAATTTCTCTATATTCTCAATAGGAAACATTTAAAAAGCCCAAGCACAAGAACCCCAGAAAAATAAGAAATTTATGATTTTAAATCAGAATGAGTTTAAAAATACTGAAATGCTGCATTGGCTTATAAAATTACCTGGGGATTGTCACTGATTGCTTTTTCCTGTTTCAAGAAGTTATCTATTAATTTCTGAGGACTTCCAACAGAAACAACCATAGTTTTTGCAGGGTTACCCAAACGCTTGTTTTTGAAAGGACTATGGTTTGTTTTTACTGGGCTGACTTGGATTTTCTTTCTAGTTCTCTTCTTACTTTTTGTAACTGGATTCTTTGATGCTGAGAAAAAAGAAGTGAGAATTGCATAGCTTTGTATAATTAAAGAAATTACAGCCCAGCCATTGTAACACACGTTTGCTGCATTAAAAAAGATTACACATAGTTATTTGATAGGAATGCATTCAAAGACTTACCAGTGGCACTTGATTGCTGAAATATGTTCTCTACGTGATTTTGCCTTTGGTCATATGCTTGTCTAAGTTCCTCCTGCAATTCTGATGGAAGGGCAGCAAAAACATCAGGATCCACCTATGTAATAAAGCATCCATTTGTGAGTATATCACTGATATGAAATCACTGAAACATTAATATCTAAACTTCTGCGTTTTTGGCTCTAGGGTAAGAAATAGAGTTTATTAATGGTGTTTCTAACTAGAAATCTACAGAACTTCTATAGAAAATTTTTACCACATTAAATCTACTAATACATATTATCATTTACCTGTGAAAATGCTGGGAGTGCTATTATATTAATCCCGGCATTATTGCTTGATTCTTTGAGATCTGGCATCTGTAATAGAACGGTTCCACCAGGCTGGGATGGAAAGTTAATATTGTATCCATTTATTGGTTCCTTTTTGCTATTATCATGTGCATCTATTAGTTGAAGAGAATATGCATGTTCTATTTGTTCTCGAAGATCAGAAGGGAGTGCTTCCAATACAGACTTATCAAGCTATAAAGAAAAAATGTTTTTCTTTAAGAAAGTGGAAATGAAAATCTGATGTAACTTAAGCGCAGAACTCTTATGAGAAACACTATATTATGCTCTTTGCTTGGTAAGTAAATAAACAAGTACAAAATGTATAGACTATAAAAGGAGGAAGCTGCTCTTCTCTTGTGCCTGTGTCTACATGTAATAGTAGCATCTAACATAAGTGAATGCATCCAAGTTGCTCTTGTGTTCATGTTAGCTAAATTCAGGACAAGTTAAACTAAATCCTTAAGTCTTTCATGAATACCATATTTTTCGGTATATAAAACGCACTTTTCCCCCTCCAAAAGTGGGTGGAAATGTCTGTGCGTCTTATACAGCGAATGTTGCTGTCCATCTGCCAGCCCCCACCCTTCGGCCTCTGCCTCCCAGCGATTGGCCTCCTTGCAGCAAACAGACTGGTCAGCTTCAGCACAGCCTGATGTAGCATGAGCAGCTGATTGTCGGTTGGATCTGCCTCGCGGAATACCGATAATCAGCCGTTCCAGTCTGCAGGGATCGCCATCGCCTATCGCCGCTTCCATGTGCCCCATTTTCGGCCTCCGTGCACCCCACAGAAAACGGGCCGCGTGGAAGCAGTGATAGGCGGTGGCAATCCCTGCAGACTGGAATGACTGATCGTCAGTATTGCGAGAGGCAGATCCAACTGACAATCAGCTGCTCATGCTAAATCTGGCTGTGCTGAAGCTGAGCAGGCTGTTGGCTGCCAGGAGGCAAATTGCTGAGAGGCAGAGGCAGATTTTTTTTTTCCTGTTTTCCTCCCCAAAAGCTAGGCCTTATAGTTCAGAGCGTCTTATAGTCTGAAAAATAAGGTAATTGAAATATTAACAAAAATGGCTAAAACTGAAATAATTCAATCAATAGACTAACAGATGGAAGAGAGTGGCAATGCTCTTTCCTTACTGTCCAATGTTAACTGTCCCACCCAATCATCTTAAGAAAGAAAGACTCCAGGCCATTTGTTTTACCAAGAGTATACTTTACTGAAGCTGAAATGGTTACAAGATGAATTTGAGGGTTTCCTGTGCAAACAACACAAAAGAAAGTTCCCTCTCCCCAATGTCCAATCAGGTGCTTGTATATTGTTTAGGAAACAGGTGCTCGATTCCCAGCTCTGCGTATTGTTAGTTGACCTTGGCTGGCTATTCACGAGGCTCAGCTGGGCTTCCATTCCCCTCCCGCTCCTTCCATTCCAATCTCTCCCTCTCCCTGCTCTCTCATGCTAATGTCAAGCTGTCAGCTCAGGAAGCTTGGATAGCTGAGATGCAGCCATGACATCCAGAGTATTCAGACCAATTTCCCTCCCATTCAATTAAAGGAATTATTTTTCAAACCAAACCCAGGAAAAACACATGCACTGGAGTAGTGAGAACCATTAAGCATAAAAGCCCATAAAATATTCATCTTATGCATTCTTTATTAAGAAAGGGGCATAAAAATGATTTTACATTATCCACATAAAAGGAAATTTTACCTGGGAAGCTGATGGCACTTCAATACTTAAATTAAGCCTAGATTTTATACTGATTGGTGGATATAAGCCATTCAAACTGGTACTAGGCTCAGATTTGCTGATAACGGGATGGAGATTAGTTGCTTCTGATGATGATAACTCTGTGCATGCTTTTGATGCAGAAGATATTTCAACATCCACAGCAGCCAAAAAAACTATCAATGAAAGAAAAGGACATTTTCAATCACTGCAGAACACCAAGCTAAAACTACAAATATACAGTAACCCAACTATCTTTACCTGCAAAAGGTAAACCTAATAATGTAACATACTTTTTAAAAAGCAACTGTTTTCCGAGGATAACAATTTATTCCAAAAACTATATAGAAAAAACCCACACAAAGCAAAATGTTATTTATCTTCCAACCTTCCTTGCATTCTTCTTTGTTCTTGGACTTCTTCACACCTTTTGGAACTTGCAAAAGATCAATAATTGAATCAGCTCCACCAGGCAAGAACCCAGAAGGTAATGAAGTATTAGAGGAAGACATTGCAGTTGTTTTATTAACTGGAACGAGCTGATGTACTTGAATTCCAACCTAGAAAAAAAGATACCAGAGTAAATTTGGGGGGATAGCTTCATTTATAGGCTGCTGCAGCAAAAACCATTGTCTTCTAAAGATATTTAACAATAAATTATTTTTAGAATAACTTTTCATAAATCTATAGCTTACACTTACACATACACACACACACCACAACCACCGAGAACGTATGATCTTGGAAAAAAGCCAACTGTATGGGTATTTATGAGAATAGTAAAAGGAGGTCATAGTGAAATTAAATGTAGACAATTCTTTCAGTAATAAGAATCTATAGTTACTGGATGAAACATTCTTCAACCAGTTAGCTGATTAACTAAGGGTCATTAAAGCTCTTAAAATCTGTTTAATCCAAAAGTTTCCAAAGTTCCCTAGACAATGCTCCTTTTCTCAGATTGGGTTTACCATTTTAAATAATGGCTGGCCAGTCAGTCCAATGTAAAATTGCACTATTTCACATGTAATAGGATATATCACATTGGAAGAAGTAAATATTTATCATATAACCACTCCTATTTAGAACAATAAAGGAACACTGGTAAATAATGTTGTAGAAGAAAAAAAAATCAAGCATGAGTGCTGAAGTTGCAGTGATTTAAAAACTTACCCCTCTCATATCAGAAATATTCAGTTTCATTGTGTGAAAAATATTTAATATTTCTTTCCCAATCACTTTCCCGTTATCTGTTGCATGGTTGAGAGTCACAGTCCTACAAATACAAAAAGTTTAAAAAGCATCAACAGCCTTACAATGGCTACTGATTAGATAAGAGTACATGTCATCACCAGGATCAGAAGAAGCACATCTTTGAATATACTCGTTATTTCCAAAGTTGCCAAGGACTATTGCTGTCATATTTTGTTTCCATGATTGTGGTAGAAAACTGAGTGGGCACTATAGAAAAAAGAAATAGTTAGGTTTCTAGACATATTCTTCTGATTTTAATTTCAATTGTTTTACAATATCAGTCATATATAAAAACTAGATTTAAAATTACACACACACACACACACACACACACACACACAGAGTACATACATGCATACATAACACAGCAATACCAGTAGATATTTTTGTAGAAGAAAACATCTCTCTCATCTCTCTCTCCCTCCCTATTCTTTTCCTTGTAAAAATTAAGCAGGCAAGGAAGACACCACTTTACACATTATTCATTACTTGCTGAACACTGCCCCAAAGCTGCTTTTCCTTAGAAAAAGCAACCATTATGCAAAAACAGCTAGGAAATCTTTTGAGTTTACCATGACTGAATTTCATTACAGTGCACTTAGCTACTTAGCTACTCATTTCCTGATACCAGATTCCTTCTCCTATCCCCTTCTGCTAATATAAGGATGCATATGATAAAAATGATTTGATTAGCATGTTCAATGATTACCATTTCTGATAAATGCTGTCATGTTATTCCTTTTACAAACTAGGACTGTACATTTTCTTAGTTTATGAATCTAGTTTTTAAAGGAGGCAGAAAATCAAGACCTTCAGTTTTAAAAACTTTCTAGATTAATATGATCACCTATAAAAATTATTTATGTCACCAGAAAAACCCACGATTGGGGAAATGGGCTGCTTATTTATTAACCCACCAACTAATAATGCAGGTTTACTATTCTTCTTGTTTAATTTCTGCAATTAAATTCAGCTTTTGTTCTGGTTACTAAAAGATATTTTCATGTGCTTATTTTGTTTTTTAATTGTGTATTATTTGCTCCCTGAACATTTTGTCAGATAGCAATGGTGTATTTTGCTCAGCTTGTCCTGTATTTTGGCAGACAAGAGCCAAATTAGTAGCTTTATTAAGTCCCCAGTAAGCTATCACACATAGTGAGGTCCAAGTAACGTTATGAATAAATTGTGTTGATATAAGTCTACTTCTTTTCCATTTTAAAAACAACAGATATTTTACTACTAATTTTTAACAATAGAAAAATAGCATCAAAACTATATATTTTCCTTAAATACTTATTACAATACAGGTAGTCTTCGACTTTCAACAGTTCATTTAGTGACCATTCGAAGTTACAACAGCAGTGAAAATAGAGCATTTTTCACTTACCACTATTGCAGCATCTCCATGGTCATGTGATTAAAATTTGGGGACTTGGCAACTCTCATATTTATGACCATTGCACTGTCCTGGGGTCATGTGATACCTTTTTGTGACCTTCTGACAAGCAAAGTCAATGGGGAAATCCAGATTCATTTAAAAAACCATGTACTAATGTAACATCTGCAGGGATTCACTTAACCACTGTGGCAAGAAAGGTTATAAAATAGGTCAAGACTCACTTAACAGCTGTCTCACTTGGCAACAAAAACTTTGGGTTCAATTGTGGTCGTTAAGTCAAGGACTACCTGTATTTTGACAGTAATGTTTTATAGGGTCCCAACACACATGGTCATGTGAAAGAGTATGGAAAACAAATTGGAAGCATGTTCTTATCGCTAGCATTATTTGTAAAACAGGAACTTTTAAAAATGTATTTTCTATATCTTACAAAATGTACAATCTTATTTTAAAAACTTATGCCAGCCCTGAAAACAGAGTTTTCCTAGGATAGCTTATAGTGCATTAAAATCACAATACAAAAATGCAATGTTACAGGGAGGTATTAAAAGACTTAAAAAGAAATCTTTTTTTTTTTAAAAAAAGAAAGTCTAATGACTGAAATTAAGAGCCAGTGTGTAATGGTTAAAGGCGCCAGGCTAGAAACTGGGAGTTCTACTTATGCCTTAAATACCAAATGTACCAAATAATCTTGGGAGAATCTCTCTCTCAGCCTTAGGAAAAAGGCAAGGGCAAAAGTTAAAGCTGACTCAAAGGCAGAGAAAAAGAGAGATATTGTATTTATTATTAGTGTGCAAATTTTAGTATATAAACAATGACAAATTTATGTACCAAGCTATTTATTTACCTGACAACACTATCACAGATTCCATGCCCTCCAAATTTTGCAGGTTCTACTGGGGCTCCAGCTTTCCTGATCATAACTTTGAGAGTTAATCGTCTTCCTTTCATACCAGCTGCCTCCAACCTTCGCTGGATCTCTTCTGAAAGGTTCAGAAGGAAAGCTTCTGCTTCTTTTGCCTTGAAATAGGAAAAATGGATTCTACGCATGTTAAAAGATGTAATCAAATCAAAACTGATCTTCATTATTGTACTAATAGATGCCAGCAAAAAAAAAACATTAAATACCATTTAACAATTGACAATACGTATGAAAGACAATGCAAATGTGAAATTTCATAGAATGTTTCCTCCTAAATACGAAACCTCTTTTCTGAACTCAAGGCAAGCTGTTTTGTGCAATTTCAAAGCATTTCAATCTTGAAAACACGGCTGTAATGTTACTTTATGCTCAGAATGGTTCCAAAATGTTCAAAACAACCCGTTTTCTACTCAATACAGAGCTTTTAGTACACAGGGGAAATTTCATGGTAATTTTTGTATTCAAAAATGTTCTTCTGAGCCATAGCTCATAAATATATTACTTAGGATTTATATAACTATTTTTGTCAATGTACTTGTATACATCTCTTCAAGCATCTTTATATAAAATAAATGAACATAAGCAGGATGCAGGATATTTAATTTTTTCAAACTAAAATTACAGACATACATTTTTGACTATGAGACTGATACATGATATGAAGGATTAGGATCTACCATATTCTTATCACACACAGCACCAGCTCTCATGGTATATTCATGTAAAAATAAATAATGTTGCATAGTAGAAATGTCTACAAATAGTTTCTGAATCTGAAACAAATAATACTTTTTGAACTACTGCAAAATGGTGCCACTATATATTTGATCAAATTTTATTTTCATATTTTTTTATATTACACATTTATGTACATATTGACATTCCACATAATTTGTGAATCACATATAAATTTACAAAAGCAATCTTGAGTTACTTTAATTATTGTATTGGCAATTAATTATCATGCTTTATTGGCACCTGGCCAATAAAGAATATTCCATTCCATTCCAATGGGTAGACATGCATGGGAACTGCTCTACTGAATTCTAATTAAAAAGCTTCTAATGAATGCTTAACAAATTCTAAGATTCCTGTAGCATTTGGAAGGCCACATTACCTAATGCTCATCCACGTTCTCATTCATATAAAAGCACATTTCATTTATTTATTTATTTAATTTATATTGCCGCCTATTCGTATAAATAAGGAATTAGAACAAAGAAATTATAGCCCAGTAACATGCAATCTTATAGACCATTTTGAAACAATGATTGTTTCACTTAAATTTGATTTATTTTTTTTACCTGTGAAAATCTTATACCATAATTGATCTCAGCTGAAACAGACTTTCTTGTTTTTTCTCTCTGAATTGGTCTGTCATCCAAACCACGGCAAAATCTATATAGCATTTGTCCAGTTTTTGGTCCAAACTCTTTCTGAAGCTTTGACATTGTGATACACTGTAGATCTCCACAAGTTTTTATCCCCATAGATGACAGCTTAGATTCTATTGTTCTTCCAACTCCTGAACCCCAAAATAAAAAATGTATTTTTGTATTAGAACTCTACACCAGAGAAATTATTAATTTAACAATCATTGTTACACTATTTAAACTGAAATGTGTATTGTATAAATGCATAAAATGTTATAAAGTAGCAGATGTGACAGTAGTTTTATATCTCAGAGAATGTTGCCTACAATTATACAGAAAGATTACACTTTACACCATCTAAAATAGGAATAAACTCCAGGCTCAAATTATCCCATTTTGGACACATTACGCAGAGAACCAACTCTCTGTAAAAATATCTAATGCTGAGAAAGAAAGAAAAAAGGACTACTTGCAGGAAGATAGCCATGAGTGCAACTTTGGGAGATTTAAAATAAAAGGTTGGGGATAGACTGTCAAGAGAAAAATCTATATATATGGTTGCTAGGAGTCAAAAATGACTTGATGGCACATAATTAATCGATTAAATATGTCTTTTTGTCTAGACTTCTTTTGGCTGAATATTGTTATTTTGATGTTTTGAATATTTATTAAATATACAGAGGATTAACATAATCTCAGGATGCAAAATCTACGCCCTGCAATTTATCAGATTGGTATTCAAAATTTGGATTAAAATCCAACTCTCTTTTTATGACCCTATAATCCCTTCATTCCGGGTAGAATCAGGGCGACTGGATGAAGCTGAGGATTTACTGGCCAGATACTCTTCCTGATGCCATAAGGGTAGGGGTGTCAAACTGGCAGCCCAGATGTGTCACTCACAGGCCATGCCCACCCCAGCTCCACGAAAAAATGTTTCGATACATCATGTGATGGCAACGTGACACGGCAAATTTGACACCTGTGCCATAGGGAGTTTGCAGCAGATATTTTTTTCTTTGCACTCTAAGAAAGAAACATCTGCTGCTATATAGGATTCAACTCTCAACCTTTCAATTGAGAAGCGAATGCTATTCAAAATTTGGATAATGTATATATGTTGCTTTATCTTCACTATAAAGAAAATAGCCACTTTGATTTATTAATGACCCATTACTTTTGTAAAGTAGAGCTAAAGCAACTCTAATAAAAACTTCTGAAGAAAACTAAGAAGGAATATAATAGAAAAATGCTACCTGGAAGATGTATAATTAGTTGGCTCCTGATAAAGTCATCTACTTCTTCAGGCTTCAAATGATACTGCCCATCAGGTTTTGCTCGGCGAGTTGCCAGCCTGGCCAGTAAAATATTTGAACCTATAAAAGTTCAATATTGCTTTTAAGCAGTATTTCAACCATTTGGAAGATTCAATATTTTTCCTACCTTACACAAGAAGAAAGGCAGGATAGTTTATAATGGAACTCCTAGTCATATACCATAGGGAGACTAGGGAAGACCATTTTATTCATCAGCATAAGTAGAATTATAATTCAGGTCCACCATGATTATTATCATCTTATATAGAATTAGTTATTTCAGTTCCAACTATCATTCCTACTAATAATCATTCCAACAATCTTACATTGATAAAAACATTTTTATTACCTCTCAAAATATTTTAGCAGCATAGACTGCTGTTTTCTCTTTCTTGAAATCTACATATAAATACAGGTAGAGTGGACTTATCCACATTTCAGCTAGTATCATATTAATTGAATTGTGGTCATATGAAACACAAACTGGTATTAATTTACAATTTGCATTAAATTGAATATCTGGTTATTGAACCTGTACTAATTGTGACCTAGCTAAATGCTGGGATAATGGAACAATGACAACCAGAACTTCCTCAGATCAACAGTTCAGATCTTTTGCAAGAAGATAAATACACACAGGAGTATTTATCTGAAAACATGGGGAATATTTTTGTTGCTGTAGTTGCTGCAAGGTACTGACTGAAGGGCAATTTACTCATTGTTGGCTGGACTGAGCATTCATTTGCTCATGATATTCCTTGCCTATGGGTAATTCTATGGCTGATCCCAAAATACTTTGCAGGGATTGGTAAATGGAACAATGCTATTTGGAGTATGATATGCTTAAGTGAATGTGATTAAAGATCACATTTAACTGACCTTACCCATAGACATTAAGCTGAAAATATCTCAGATGCAACAAATATTACAAGTATTTCCACTGTGTCCCTTTATATGAGAAAAATACTACAGAAGAAGGCAGTTGGTAATATATAAAAGCCTCTAAGGCAGTATGTATTTCTATTTATCTTCTATAAATGAAGAGTGGAGAAAACAAGAAAAATTAATTAGACTTTGCACAAATTTCTAATATCTAATCATAAAATTATTTTATTCCTGTGATTAATGCATTTACTTTATGGAAATAAAACGTTGCTTTTACTTAATAATCTCCTTTACTTCTAAATAAACATTTGTAGAAATATACTAACCTATTCCAATTGAAGCGGAACATTTGGTCTTGTTTTTTATTTCTGCACGAATAACATTTGCTAGTTCATCTGATATCAACCCAGTCTCTGCAAGGATTTCAGTGGTATCTACCAGTGCTTCATCACAACTGACAGCTTCAATGTTATGAGTATAGCTATCAACAAAGTAAAGGAATTAAAAAGAAATAGTAGGAATAGTAGTAGGAATAGGAACAAAATTTATTCAAAATTAAGCATATTTAAAAATATTAAATACTCATTTTACAGTGAAACCACAATATATAAAGATTCCAATTTGTGAAAAAAAGATTTTAAAATACCTATTAAATTTATTTGCCACTCATCACTCCATATGAGATGCTGTATTGTGAAGTAGCAGTAACCAGATTACATACTTCATTTTATAAGTAAAATATAAAACCTGAACCTGAGAAGCATAGTTGTTTTAACTTTTTTTCACATATTTACATCCGATTGTTTAATCAGACATCAATAAAATCCCAGGTTGGAAAGTAGAATAATGGAGCTTGGCTTTAACTAGTTGGCTTAAGGTAACTATGTTAATTTGATTTGTAATTAAAAATAATATCCTTTGGTAATAAAATTTCTATTTTGCTGAGATTAAATGGCAATCTGATCTTGGAATAGCCATTATTCAGAAATGTTTGGGTGGCTTTTGTGAGATGAGGCTATAGAAAAAAAGAAGTAGAAAAATATGGGATATTTGTACATTGCTGAAGAGGTACTTAATAAATTCATAAGTATGATAATAAAATAAATAGCATATAATATTTTATCAAATTACATTACAAAGTAATCAGCAGAATTCCATAATAAAAGTTTTTGGTAGTTATTCTTTCTCAAAATTAAATATTTTAACAACTTATATAATATGAAACATTTACCTTGCCAATGTTTCGTACATAGTTCGTGCAACTTCTTTGTATGCATGAAAGTCATAGGGAACAGCTTCAAGATTTGGGCACAACTGTTTTGCTTGTCCAAAAAACATTCCATTCTTTATACCAGCTTGCCTAAATTAAAAACAAAAAAACAAAAACAATTCCGTAGGGATTCAAAACCAACCGTTAATAAAAATAAATAATTATCTTACATGAGGCATATTAAGCAATTAAGAAACTATTTCATTCTATTTTTTATTACTCTTTTTTCATTCTATTTTTTTAAATTCAATTATTTATGTTGCATAATATAGTGGCAAATAAATACCTTAACTCACAAAGTGTAATATTCACACTGTAACTTGCACAGCAAAAGCTCAAGTCTTCCTACAAATGTGTAGGAATATTTTAAAAATTCTTTAATAAACAACCAACTAAATAAATATGCTTTATCTATTTAAAGATAAAAACTGTATTCTGCAACCTTCAACTGACAAGAAATAATTTTCTCTTACCTGGCTTCATAACTGCAAGATGCAATTTCCGCCATTGATGACACAGAAATATCAAAATCACTTTTACTCAATTCGGCAGAATCTTGATTATCATCATCTGTTGAGTCATCATCATCAATTTCTATTTGAAAATAATTTTATTAAGTCATTATTTACGTTTTAAAATTGAATTTGATTTATAGTAATTAAAAAGTTACTTAAGAAAATATTTTGTATATGTAGAAATCTGCAACAGGGTCCTTCCTTCCTTCCTTCCCGTTAACAAATCAAATAATTTACTTGCTATATAACAAACCAATACCCAATAAAATACACATTGCAAAAATGCAGATCAATTTGATAGTTTTTGATACCTGTCTTCATATTTAATGTACTGTATTTGTACAGCTTAATCTGTCTCACTTTAGGAAATTCAGAAGATATGCTTGACAGCAAATGCCCTTGCAAATATTATTAGACAAACCTATTTATTACTGATGAGAATTCTAGGTATACAGAATTTTTTGCATGCTGCTGCTAGCTACATTCAAGCAAAATTCTGTCAATTAACTCTATAACTGTTAACAGCAATAGCAATAGCACTTGGACGTATATACCGCTTTCACAGTGCTTTACAGCCCTAACAATCTGGGTTTTCATTTTGCCAATCTCAGAGGGATTGAAGGCTGAGTCCACCTTGAGCCTGTGATAATCGAACTACTGGCAGCAGAATTAGCAAGAATACTGCATTCTAGCCATGCAGCATTTTTAATTTCCCACAATTGTTTTTCTGTGGCAGGACTCAAATTGTTATTATCTTAGTTATTGTTATAAATCTACTTATTTTAAGCCTGGTTATATAAATTAATCTGCAGTATTTTACAAATTAATTTGGTGTAAGCTTCATAACATTTAACTAGATCTACTTCCAAACAACCATGTAAAGGATTGTGTCATTATAACAAATATTGTAGAGTTTGATATAACAAACTTTCTTCCTGAAATGAGAAAAGATATTTCCCCTTTTAAATTGAAAAAAAAAATCATTTTTTAAAAAACAATATACTTATTAATCCAAAGGACTTTTAAAAATGTTTTTAATGAAAATGGAAATAAATCTAATATGTGATTAAAATAGAAATCACAAAAACATGCCAGTTTTATAGGTAATGCACATCCACTTAAGCATACTAGTAAGTCAGAATGTTTCAATGATTTCCTTTGATAGTATGATTTATATCTTAGTCATTATTTCTCCCAAATATAGATATTTTATAAAGCCATTAAACATCCTTTTTGCTGTTACATTCTGTCCAAATTAGGCAGAATTATGGAGAAAATTGGCTCTTGCAGTGAACTGCATACTAAGTATTAATAAAAAGGAATAGTCCAGAGCTACAGCATGCAAAAACAAGGGAAGTTTCTCTTCTTATATAAGTAAATATTGTGAGAAGCATGCACACATGTAATTACTTCTTGCTAGAAAAATGTAATGGATGAAAATATTCCTCTCCCCTTCCTGCCTCATGTAAAGTACAAAGGAAGTCCTACTCTAGCACTCTAATATTTTTAGAAGAGAAAAATAAGGTAATTTGGATTAATTTACACATAAACACACACCGTGAAGGGTTATGCTTTCTTCTCTTCAGTACTTCTAAAGGTTGCTAAAAAATTTACAGAATGACTTGAATGTGAAATTTATGGTGCACTTATTTTCACAAATGATAATCAAGATAAAGAATGTAGTGGATGAGAAAAGTGGGAGACAGAACATGGACAAGCTGCTATCTTTGATAGTTCATCACTATCGTTCGGATGGCTGTGTCATTCAAGTTGTCCAACATATCTGCAAGTGCAAATTAGAGCAAATTATGCCCTGAACAACAAGAACAATGTCCTTAGTCCATCTGTTTCTCTGCCCTGGCATTAGATGATGTCATCATCTTGTCTATCTTCATGACTTCGATGGGCTCCTCCACAGTGCAGTACAGCAGATCCCCCCTTAAGTTGATGAAGTCACTTCATGTAATTCAGGGGCAATGGAAGACACATTTTTCTCACTGGAAGGCAAGGTAGAGAACCTCTCATCAAAAGTTGGGAAACTAGACAGACGCATGGTGAATGTGGAGCAACGGATGGAGAAAGCAGAGGCCAGGACCAAGTCTGTGAAAAAGAAATCGCTGAGAATAAATCTGTATCTAAAGTGTGATAAAAAAAAGTTGCTCTCTAGAATGAGAACTGAAGATATTGGGCTTGGGAATACTGGCAGATGTGGATAAGGCAATAACTCATTCTTTATGCATGTTTAATGCCTTCTGTCTGTGTGCCAGATTTTGCCAACACATTGTAATTATTGTACCTGCCCTTAAAGATATATTCCAAGATAGAAGTACAGAGAGGGATGCCATCAAATGCAGAATAATGCAATTGATGTATAAAAAATATTAAAGATTGAATCCTGGATCTCTTTATGAAAATCAATTTGTCCAAAAAGAGGCAATATAAGCAAGGACAATCCTCAGTAAATAAGCAGGTTGTAAAGATGGGGCTGATGTTGCAGATACCTGAATCAAGTTACACTAAGAAATTCACTGATCTTTAAAACAACTTTATCTAGTAGATTGTAGAGAAGATCACCAGAACAAAAGTATGGGGAATATGAGGTACTGATAAATGATATTTATCAGAACATGATTAGTCATGTGTAATAAATTGTCAGATTTCATTCACACTTATACATGAATGAACTCTGTTGTATGTAGATGATTTATTAGAGTGGAATTCATCAATATGCTAAACACATTTGAACATCTGCCCATCCAAAGCTTTTATTTTGTCAGTGCCTACCATCCTATATAACATATTGCTAATTAATTATTCCATAGTGCAATAAATTAGCATATTTCTTACTTTTCTCTAACAGCTAGCAAGCTAAGTTATATTTCTTTACTGATAAAATACCTGCAAGTAAATATACACTACAAAAAAATGCAGGTATTGTGAAAAAATATGCAATTAAAAATTGAATTATCTGCAAAATATTTTTTTTAAAAAAACACGTGTTTGTGTTTGCCTAGAAAAGAAAAAACATGTGAGCCCAAGTTATAAATAATCTTATTTCCATGATATGAATGGGGAGAGATAATGTTAATTTTTTCTTTTCCTTCTTGGAAATGCAAGCAGTTTATAAAACAGCATGCATCACCATGGAAATCCTTCGGTCTACAAGAATTTTTGAACAACACCGTTATACAGGACATTTTGCTCAATTTTATAACATTGAGCCTGTTAACTCAGAAATGAACTATTTCTGACCAGACATTATTAAGATAAAACAAATTTTATGTCTTCTATGATAGAATTTATTCAATAAAATGAAGGGAAAAAAAGGAAATGCAGGTAGAGTGGGGCTTTTGTGGCACTACAAAGATTATAATATATTAATTATGCCAGACACTGGCTCAAGGTGGTATTTGCTCCAAATGAAAAGGAATTTATTCTAAGACAAGGTACATAGAGTCACAGAAACCTCTAAGATTCAGACAGACACAAACATATTTCACTTTTTGGTTATTTTGCTCAAATGTTAAAACTGACATTTATTGTGTGTGTGTATGTATGTATATGATATAGGGCTGTCCATCTTAAATAGAATAACGCTGGGTAACTCACAACATATAAAAGTGACAAAAAATAAGAAAATTAAAAGTATCATGCACAACAACAACCAAGTCACCATAACACTCCTACCCCAAATATGCATGAACTGGATTCAGTTCACATCTGAGCCCAATGCCTGGATGAAGAACCAGGTCTTAATGGTCTTCAGACTTCCAGATGTCTAAGAGAATAAGGGGCTTCTGGTTCTCAGGGAGGCTGTTTCATAGGGCAGCATCTGCTACAGAGAATTCTAGCCTCCAAACTCTGACCAGATGACATAACAGAGAGACCTATGTTTGATCTTTGGGACAGGAAAACACCCTCAGTGTGAGACAGTCCTGTAAGTAAACTGAACCTATGCTTTATAAGGCTTCAAAGGTGATAACTAGTATCTTGAATTGCACCTGGAAAGAAAATGGGGAGCCACAGGAGTTTGCCCATATGGGCAAACTGCAGGATGCCCTGAACTCTATTAGCCACTTCATTCTCCACCAGTTGAAAGTTTTGAATGATCTTCAAGGCAGCTAAATATAAACAGCATTGCAGTAGTCCTACTGGGAAATGACTAAAACGTTAAGGGACCATGTGCAAGGCCTCCCAGTCCAACAATGAGTACAAGTGGCACACAAGATGAACATACACAAAAACCATCCTAGCCATAGCTGCCCCTTCCTCTTTGAACAGGAACCACCAATCCAAGAGGACTCTCAAATTTCACACCAACTCTTCTCAGGAGAAGGCTATTCCATCAAGAGTTAAATATTGCAACTCTTCAGTTCCAGGAGAAAACCTAAAACTACACTACCTTGCCAGGGTTGAGTCATAGTTGGTTCCTCTACATTCAGACCTTCCCAGCCTCAAGGCGTAGAGTAGGCACCTGAATAGTATAACTTGCTTGGACTGAGGTGGGGATGTGCAACTGAGTGATGACTGCACCCAGAGGCTTCATGTAGATGTTAAACAGGAAGGACTCCAGCTTCAAATATATATTAAATAGGAGAGATGAGAAGATTGAGGCACTATATATAAGGACAGACTAGTATCTCTCCTACTTCATCAACACTGATTACAGAGAAAGCAGATGAATCATTGTAAACAGTATCTGTAGTCCCAACTCATTAAGTTTATTCAGAATACCATAGTCAGTGTCACTGAAAGCTTTCAAGTGATTCAAGAAGGCCAGAATAGATGCAGCATCCCCATCCTGAGACCTCAATGGACCATCCATAAATGAAAACAATGCCATCTTAGTACCATAACCAACCCACCCTGAAACCCAACTAAAATGGGTTCAGGTAACCTGCTTCCTCTAACACACCTTTTTAATGGGAGCACTCGCTATTCTCAAAACAACCATCCCTAGAAAGGGAAGGTTGGAGACTTAATAAAAGTTATTCTTGATGACAGTCAGACAACCTACCGCCTCCTTCAAGGCAAGAATTACTGGTAGCCCTTGACTTAATGCCAGAAATGGAGCCTATC